AGCTGATTAATCAGCCGAAGCTGAAGGAAGGCGTTCCTCGCCACCGCTGTCACCTGAGCTTCCAAAGAAAGTTCCGGGTCGAGGAGCACTCCTAAGCTGCAGACCTTATCCCTAAGAGGGAGTGTTGCACCATTCAGGACCAGGTCAAATCCACCCTCTCCGAAGCCCGATCCGCCAACCAACAGGACCTCCGTCTTGTCTGGGTTGAGTTTCATGTGATTGTTTAGTGCCCTTTTAAACACTCTAATAACTGAACTTCTCTGAGTGGAGTACAGGTCATTCGTCCAGCTCTTTTCCTCCCTTGGCCTTCCCCTCTCCTCTCACTTCAAACAATCTTGATGCAAAGCTGCTCTGGTTAATTAATTACTTAATTAATCTTTAAATTCACTTGATTTAAAGAGGACCATGTGGTCAATACCTGCAGGACCTCTTTAAATCAAGTGAAATTAATTAATGTATTTTTAAAATATTGTCAGTTGCAAGGGGAGCCTAGAGGTGTGCACCTTGGAGTTAGGCTATTTTAAAGTGCATTAATTAATTTCAGGTCATTTAAAAGTGTCCAGTGAGATGGTGCAGCTTGTATTTTACATGGAAAACAGGAGTATAGATTTTTTTAAAATTAATTTTCTTGATTTCTATCCCGTCCCTTAGCCAAAATGGCTCTCCATGTGGGTTAGAAGATTTTCTTTTACAAACAGAAACAGAGCGAGTCAGAAGGGGTCTCCCAGGCCATCTAGCCTGACCCCCGGCTCCAGCCGGCTTCACTTATGACACGCCTACCATTTTAATTATTATCATGACATAACTCTTCCCCTTCTTACATAATTGAACGAGTATTTAACCATTATAATGTAATGGCACCAAAATATTCTTATAAGTTAGGCTTGGTTATGCCTATGCCATAATGGTTTGCTTTATTCTGTAGGACAACCCAAAGGATATTTACCAAATGCTCTCAAGACCAGAAGAAGCAATCTGCTTGCCATCAGCTCGTGAAATTGTCGATCAACAGAGTGATGCCGTTGGTTTCTTCGGAGCTGGACATGCACGGGAAGGTAACTTTTCCTTTGCATGCAAGGCCACTGAAATGGAGTAGGACATTGATGGTCTTCATTTATTTATTTATTTATTAAAACATTTTTATGCCGCCCCATTCGCTGAAGCCTCGGGGCGGCTTACAACAAGAAATTAAATCCACATAAATAAAAATTAAAATATATACATTAGAAAAAAATACAATATAAAATAGATATAAAATAAGCCACCCTGGCCAGATAAAATTCAATAATATTAACATTTAAAATGCTGCTTAAATAAAAAGGTCTTCGCCTGGTGCCGAAAAACAAATAACGACGGTGCCAGGCGGACCTCTCTGGGGAGCGCATTCCATAGACTGGGCGTCACCGCAGAGAAGGCCCTCCTCCGAATAGCCACCCTCCTAATTTCTTCCATGGAGGGCTCCCGGAGAAGGGCCTCTCCTGCCGATCTCAGGGGGCGGCTGGGCATATAAGGGTGTAAGCGCTCCTTCAGGTAACCAGGACCCAAGCCGTTAAGGGCTTTATAGGTCATCACCGACACCTTGAATTGGGCCCGGACTTCAATGGGGAGCCAGTGAAGCTGACGGCCCCTTCATGGCCCCTTCCAACTCTACTGTTCTATGATTCTATGAAAGAAAGGGCAAATGAGTCCGATTTTAAATGGCTGGCTACACCAGGTTGGGCAGGAGAAAAGATTTGTGGGCTCCTAGAAAATGGCGCCTTCTGATGGGCTGGATTGTATAGGCAATGGAGCCCATGACCTGGGGAGGTGGCGGCTCTCCCACACTAGAGCCATTCCAGATGCAACAGGTCGGTCACTGGCCCCGTCCAGCTCTACTATTCTAGGATTCTAGGATTTCCTCTCAAGAAGGTACCACTGGTGAGAGTCGTCCGGCTTCCGGAAGGTCTGCGTGGGCCGCCTGCAATGAACAAACTGGTAACTTCTTGATTAGACTTCTGTAACGCGCTCTACGTGGGGCTGCCCTTGAAGACGGTCCGGATACTTCAATTGGTGCAAAATAGAGCTGCCAGGCTGCTGATGGGGACTGGGCGTTGTTCTCATATAACCCCAGTTCTCCGTCAGCCCCACTGGCTCCCCATTGAGTCTGGGCCCAATTCACGGTGTTGGTTATCACCTATAAAGCCCTCAACAGCTTGGGACCTGGATAACTAAAGGAACGCTTACGCCCATATATGCCCTCCCGCCCCTTGAGATCAGCAACAGATGCCCTTCTCCGGGAACCCTCCATGAATGATATTAGGAGGGTGAGTACCCGGAGGAGGGCTTTCTCTGCGGTGGCGCCCCATCTATGGAATGCGCTCCCCAGAGAGGTCTGCCTGGCGCCGTCATTATTTGTTTTTCGGCGCCAGGCCAAGACCTTTTTATTTAAACGTTATTTTAATTGTTGATTTTATTTATTGATTTTATATTTATGCCAGGATGTTTCCATTTTTTTATGTATTTGTATTGCTATTTATTTTTGTTGGAAGCCGCCCAGAGGCTTTTGCGAATGGGGCGGCATATAAGAATTCCAAATAAATAAAGCAGCATTGCAAAGGCTTCCACCTCAGACACCCCGCCACCCCAAAGAAAAACTGCTTCTTCTCCAGAATCAGAGGGTTGCGTCTTCTTCTCAGTCCGCTCCATGGTTTGCTCTTGCCCGGCTCGTTTGACTTCCTCGCGATGACACGGATGCACTTGGTTTGGGTGGGGAACTAGAAGCCTTCCCCCAGTGCCCGGCAGACTTTGGGTCTATGCCTTTTCCTTTGAGAAATTGTGAGTGACCTATTCCTTCTAAAGCAGTTGTGGGGGCCAGTTCCCCATCAGGTATTTTAACCCCAGACTTATTGGGATGGCTGTGTTTATCCTTGGATCCTAACCCTAAGAAACAGGCTATTTTCATCTCGCTTTCTGAGGATTTAGCACACGTTCCACTTGTTCGTGCAAAGTACACCGAGGCTTGCTATTCTGCTGGAGAACATTCAAGCTGCTGTTGCCTGATGTTTGTCTTCCATGAGTCGCTAGCCAGGCCCGGAGTAAGCCTAGTCCAGATGCTCGGCGCCTGCTTCAAGGAGAAACCCAGGGACTCTTCCGTTGTGCCCGCCTGTTTAAAGCTCTGCCAAGCAAATCGAGTTCTTATTTCTCTTTTCGTTTTCTCCATTCCAGCTTGATGGTATTATAAACAATTCGTCTTCTTTCATTCATCAACAATTGTGTGTGCTGCGCTTTTCTGCACATCTCAGTAAGATCTTGGAAGAACTCAGCTGAATTTGGCCGAGATTCTCTGGTTAGAAGTATGTTTTAAACATCATATGATGTGGAGGAAACCTGCGGGAGTCGGCTCTATCGCTAGGAGCAATGCCTGGTGTTGCATCCATACAGTTTGAAGGGAGAGGAAACAGGTACCCCAAGGGGAGCAGAGGGCAGAGGGGAGGGAGGGAGGGGGAGAGAGAGAGAGAGAGAGAGAGAGATTGAATGCACAATGGAGAGCCAGTGTGGTGCAGTGGTTAAGAGTGTGGGACTGGGACCCAGATGATCTGGGTTCTAGTCCCCGCTCAGCCATGGAGCCAACTGGGTGACTTTGGGCCAGTCACAGATGCTCAGCCTAACCTACCTCGCAGGGTTGTTGTTGTGGGGATAAGACGGAGGAGGAGATGTAAGCTGCCTTGAGCCCTTTGTAGGAAAAAGGCAGGATATAAATCGAAAAATTAAATGAATGAATGAATGAATGGACTCATGATGGATTGAATGCGCTCACCTGAGCTTGCAAAGTGTCCCACAAAACGTGGCCGTGGCATTTTTGCACTTTTAAACATGGGCTTGTCAACCCGTCAGAGATGGACGGGCTCCTGCACAAGGGTTCTCTGTGCGTGTGGATTCACTGAAGGAGGGCCCTGTGGCACCGGTTCATCGGAGCCTGGAACCAGCGCCAGTGGCCTGCCTTTCCAGACCCTGCTGGCCTGTGAGGCGCCCTTCAGGGAGGCGGGTGCAAGGAAAAGAGCCGTTTGACCTTGAGATGGCAGCTCAGAGTTGCACAGGCAGGCCGTGCTTCCGCAGAGGCTTGGCCACGGTGGCTAATTGCTGGGAAAGAGCAATGTTGCTCTTGGCACGCCTGTGATTTCGGGCTTCCTTGTATCAACCTTGCAGCTCGAACGCCTCTCGCCCTGTAATTATCAGCATGTGTGATCAGCTGCATCTTCCAAGGGAGCAATGCTGCCTTATCAGTGCCTTGAACCTTTTGACTCGCCTGGGAATGCAGCACCTGGAGACCCTCTGGGAAAGGGCCTGAGGGGAGCTGCTGGACACATCCACCAATAAATACAGCTGAGCTGGACCTTAATTTCCCTGGATCGTTTTTCAAAGATGCAACTACTTCTGCTTTTCGGAGTCCTCGTTGGGGCTGCTGCGAGCCTGAAAACCTTTGTTGGGTGAGTCAACGTCTTGCTTTCTTCATCCACTCTCAAAGTTTTCGTTGGGATTCTCGTTATAGCTGTGCTTACCAAGCCGGGCTCTTGCAGTGCTTTGGGCTGCAGCTGGCTGGGAGCAATGGGAATTGCAATCCAAGCCGCTGGGGGAAGGCTCTCTATGGCTCTTGGCCCCGTGGCTGTGTGGATCAGAGCAGTGCGCTCGTGTCTCCCAGTTACTGGGGAGCCTGGCCGGGAGGGTGCAGTTGGCCCCTCTGTGGGCAGCGTCCTGGACTAGCTGGATGCCTGGCCGGGTCCAGCAGGGCTCTTCCCAGGGGAGGCAGCTCCAAAGGGCTCGGCGGGCTGCTCTCCACAAGGTGTTCATTGTATGTGCAACTCATTGTGCATTCAGTGCGGATAAGGGCAAGGTCTTGCTCTTGGGGCAGGGGAATGGGTGTCACAGTGCAGGATGGGGGACAGGTGGCTGGAGAGCAGCCCTTGTGCAAGGGACCTCGGGGTGCTGGTCGACTGCAGGCTGAACATGAGCCAGCAGCGTGATGAGGGGTTGAGAAGGCGAATGCCACCTGTGGATGTATAACCAGAAGTGTGGCTTCTAGTTCTAGGGAGGTGTCGATACCACTCTACACAACTCTGGTGCGCCCACAACTGGAGTCCTGCACCCAGCTCTGGGCTCCACATTATAGGAGAGGTGTAGCTGGGTTAGACTCGGTCCAGGGCAGGGTCACAAGCATGGTAGATGGGCTGGGAGGGAGGCCATACGAGGAGAGATGGAGGGAGCTGGGTCTTTTCAGCCTGGAGGAGAGGAGACTCCCCGGGGATCTGTTGGTGGCTTGTAGGTACGTGAGGGGTTGTCGTGTGGAGGGGGGCCGTGAGCTGTTCTTCCCTGCAGGGGAGGGCAGGATGCGCTCCAGTGGGGCAAAGCTCAAGGACCGGGCTTCAGGTTGGATGCCAGGAAGTGCTTCCTGACAGTGAGGACCCCTAGGATACGGAACGGGCTTCCAAGGGAGGTAGTGGAGGCCCCATCCGTGAGGGCATTCAAGGAAAGACTGGACAGCCACATGTAGGGGATTGCATGAGCAGATTCAGCTGGGGCCGGGGGTCAGACTAGATGGCCCAGGAGACCCCTTCTGACTCGCTGTTTCTGTGTCTAACCCTGCACTTGTACCAGGGCCTCTCTCTGCTTTCTTTGCAAGAGGACGAACACCCTTTCACACAAGTGTTTTCCCCTGTGGGCAGTTCCCACCGCCTCTCTGTACATTCCTGTATAAGCCATAAGACAGCAAAAGTCGGCATCGTGGCCTGGAGCGGAATGCGAAATGGGGCCGTCAGCACTGTGGCGCCACCCAGGAGAACAACAAGGGCTCCAAAAAGGGCTGCAAAAGTGGCTGGAAAAGGTGGGGGAGGCACTGGAGGATGACGACGTGGGGGAAATAACCTGCAAACCTCCATGAGTCGACACTCACAAGCGCTCAATGGATGCTTTACGCTGAGAAGCCCAGGGTTTGTGCTTTGGCTGGTCTTACATTGCCCAAAAAGAGGGGCAAACTTCTGAAAGGCAGTAACAACCATGAGCTCACTCCATGCGACACTTTAGCCATGAAATGGGTGGAATAGGATGCCGCGAGCATCAGTGACTCCATGGTACCAGACCCCTGTGCTAATCTCAGAAGCACACCTAAGGACCCCGCTGCAGGCGCACAGGCACTTCCGAACGTGGCGGCTCATGTGCCTCTGATGCTCAGTGCAAGGTGTACCAGTGCCAGTCCCTGCCTTGTGCCAGGTATTTCCTCTGTAGGGCCGATTCCAGGTGTCTCAACTTGGTATTGAGGATAGGAGGGAAGGAGAGTTGAAACTATCAGTGAGGCCCCCTCGGTGCGGGTGTTCAAGGATAGGCTGGACGTCCACATGGCGGGCATGTTGTGAGCGGAGCCAATTGGAGCTGGGGATCAGACTAGATGGCCCAGGAGGCCCCTTCTGACTCGCTCCATTTCTGTGTTTCTATGGTGCCGGAGGTCAGACTAGATGGCCCGGGAGACCCCTTCTGACTCGCTGTTTCTCTGTTTCTCTGTTTCTAACTATCCGCCTCTTCCGCTCCCTGGTCCCTCAGCATCCCGTCTTCTCCTTCCAAGACCCAGTTGCAGCTTTGGGGCCTGGCACAGATCTGTCCACATGGGCTATGAGCAGGGCTGCCTTGCAGCTCCAGCGTCACAGGACCTCAGGGCTGGGACTCTGAAGAATCCTATGGCCTCTCAAACAGTGTCTGGAGGCCCTAGGATTGCACGGAAGTCAGTGTGTGTTGCTCTTCTGTGGCACGCAGGAGGCAGAGGCAAATAAAGAAGGTCTTGTCAGGGATGCTGTGGTCAAAGCAAGATTCGCATCTGGGACTTGGGAGGAGTTATTTACATCCAGAACTTGTGGGCTCACACCTGGCCCTTCAACAGCCCAACTCCTCACCTGTGTGAGCATTCTGTGCTTTGAGGCAGGAAGCTTTTTTTAGGGTGCTATGAAGCGCTATATTTTGGGTGGAGCTCTGGAGAGAAAATACAGCATGTGGGTAGGACTTTGCATTCTGCTGATCTTGGCAGTTCCAAAAGAAACAGACCAAGTCCGTGAGTCCCAAGCAGCCGGAAGCGGGTGTAATGAATCCATTGATTGACTTGTTCTTGCAGTGACCAGGTTCTGCGGGTGGAACCATGCACTGAAGAACAGGTCCGCCTACTGAAGGAACTGGAAGCTCTGGAGCCTCTTCAGGTACGTTGTTTTGTCTGGGGCGTTGGTTAATGATCCCTTCCAGCGCCAATTAGCGCCTTGACAGAAGACCTCATTTGCAGACTGCCAGAGATCTTGAAAAGGTGTTTCTGTTCGCTGGCAGCTCCTTTCAGAAGCCTGCAAGTTGCAGAAGAGCGAGTACCAACATGTTGCGCAAACCACAGAATCATGCAATCAAAGAATTATGCAGTTGGAAGGGGCCCAGAAGGCCATCGGTCCAGCCCCTGCTCCAGGACTGAGACTCACAGCACAGCAGAGCTGGGAGGGGCGAAACGGGACCCTGGGTCACCCTGCTTGGTACGGGGCCCCAAGGTGCAGCAACACATGGGATGCGCATGTTTGCACGCAAAATGAGAGCATGGGAAAAGCCCCTCTGGGTCAGCGCCGAGGCCCGTCCAGTCCAGCGCTCCGTACCCACGGTGGCAAACCAGCTGCCCACAGGCTCCGTCCAGCAGGATGCGGGCAAGGCCTCCTCCTGCCCAAGCTCCCCAGCAACTAGTCTGTGCAGGCAGGACGCCTCTGGAGAAGGAGGGAGTCCGTGGCCAGCAAGGCTAGTAGCCACCAATGGCCTCTCCCTTCTTGCATGAGCCCAGTCCCTGTTTAAAGCCATTGCCAGTCCATCAACGTGCCCTCAGCGCCTCGCAGGGGTGCAGGTCAGAGTCGCAGTTTTTCAGGATTTGTCCCTGCAGCGAAATAAAAAAAGCTGACACGGAACGGGGTGCGGTGCTTCCAGCTCGAGTTGCTGCGTCTGGCTTTGTCCGGTGAAGTTCAGGAGCGTGCTTTTTCTGTGTTTGGAGATGCAGGCATCTTGCGATCCGCTGCCTGGCTTTTCTTTCAAGGGTTCCTCCCTATATTGGATTTGCTCTTGCGAACTACCCAGAGAGGTTTGGTTGTTGGGTGGTAGAGAAAGAGAACGTGAAAGAGAAAGAACCGCAACAACTCCGTTTGCTTTTCTGTTTGCCAGCTTGATTTTTGGCGGTTCCCTTCATCCGTAAACGAACCTGTGGATGTCCAGGTGCCCTTTATCTGTCTTCAAGAAGTCAAAGTCTTTCTGGAGTCCCATCAGATCAAGTACAGCATCCTGATAGAAGAAGTCCAGGTAGGCCATGCGCACAAAAGGACCTGAACAGTCTAAATTACTGCATGAAATATAGAAACAGAGAAACAGAGTGAGTCAGAAGGGGTCTACCAGGTCATCTAGTCTGACCCCCGGCTCTGCCCATGACATGCCCACCATGTGCATGTCCAGCCTGTCCTTGAACACCTTCACTGAAGAAGGGATGCCTGCAACTCTCAGTAACGGTCGGCATCGTCATCATACCAAGCCTAGACATCAGAACACGTGGCGCCTGCGACAAAATGTTGCAGTATGAAGCACACCTGGTCAGGATGCCCCAGTCCAGGATGTTGCTCAGGTTTCTATTTTCCTCTGCAACAGCCAGTCGGCCTCCTCAGTCCTCCCTGAGATCTTCTGCGTCCCACCCCCTCACCACAGAATCCTGCTGCTGAGGATGTCCCTGTGCTGCCCCAAAGCTTGGGGTGGTAGGAGCTTGGGGCTGCGGGCAAGGGCGTGCTTCCTCTACCGAGGATGGGGAGAAAAAGAGCACTTCCCGTCCTTGTCTTAGGCCTTGGTGGATAAAGAAACCCGAGAAATGGACCTCAATCGGCAAAAGAAGCAGAGCAGTTTCAACTACGGAGCCTATCACTCCCTGGACGCTGTAAGTGGGAGCCGCGTTTACTCTTCCTTCCTTGCCTTTCCCTCCCTCTCTGGCCAAGGCAGAGATCTGTAGGACTCAGCAGATGCCGTACGGGCCTGATCCAGACGCCGATTCCCTGCACCTCCCAGTTGCTGCTGGGAACCCAGTGGACCATCCAAGCTGGAGTGTTAACACCCGGATTCATCGGGGTTCTGGGGACTGACCAGTTGGGCCTGCAAGCCGGTCACTGGTGTCGCGCAGCCGGGGCGTACGAGGCCGAGGCACCGGGACTTTCTGATTAACACGGGAGACCGTGTCCCCCACCGCCCACCTCAGGCTTCCCTGTTCCTTGCGGGATTCATTGCAACCTTCACAGAAGCTGGCAGTGTGTGTGTGTGGGGGGGGGGGGGGCAGCTGATCTCCCCAGCAAGAAGAGCTTGTTCTGAATGGTCCCAGCATTCACGCAAAGTATTTCTGGATCGCCTGGCCTTGACTGGACAACGCAGAGCTATTTGCTTTGCGAAATGGCCAGAATGAGGCTGTTGCTATGGGGCCGTGCTTGCATTTTTGGTTTTTCCTGGGGGTGGGCACTCTGGGGGCTGTGTGAGGAGCGCCGGCATTTCCATATGGTCCATTTCATGGCGTTACCAATTCCCTTCCCTACAAGGTCGGTGGGGGGGCAGTGCCCCCTACGTCCATGGGAGCTTTTGTCCGAACTTCAGGGGGACTGTCCAGGGTGTCAGACTCTGCCCTTCAAAATGGTTCTCCACCATGCAGCCTGCCAGATGTTTTGTCTGGCAGTCCCTAAAAGCATTAGTCAGCAGAGGCAATGGCGAGGGAGCCACACGGTTCGTGGGCCAAACATCGGGAAGGCCAAACTTACCCACCTGGACCGAGCGCCCAGGATCCACGGCCTGCGGCCTGCTGGCAGTTGGTGCACTGCTTAGAAACAAGAATTCCTGACTCCTCTGTGCCGTTTCTTTTCCTTGCTTTAATTCCCAAGATAAAAATGTCGCTTGTGCAGCCGAGTCGTTTCCCCGAGCGCCAGTGAGGGGGTCGTGCTCCAGGGTGCTGGGCTGGGACTCGGGGGATCCGGGTCCCAGTCCCCATTCAGCCACGAAGCCCACTTAGGCGGTGGTTGTGGGTACGAAGTGGGAAGGGGAAGATGCTCGGGAGCCGCCCCGGCTCCCTGCGAGAGGAAGAGAAGCGCGGTCCGAATGCGAGGCGGCCATCGACACCGTCCTGAGATGGGCCCTGAAAGGGACGTCAAGGTCCCCAGCCAGGATCGGGCCACTGTGGCCCAACGGGCGTTTTGGCCTGCAGCTCTGGTCAGTCCCAGCTAGCCTGAGAGACGAGCCGCCCGGGAGCCCGCCGGTCCCTCACTCCTCGGCGTTTCCTGTCTGCCCTCCCCTCCCATGAACACGCCTCTCTGCCATAACACCCCGGACTAACCGTTTGGCATTTCAGATTTACGCCGCGATGGATGAGATTGTGGCAGGGCATCCCCAGCTTGTGAGCAAAATCCAGATCGGAGAGTCTTATGAAAAACGGCCCCTGTACATCCTGAAGGTATTGTTGCCCTTTGCCTAATTAAAAAGTCGCGTGTTGCTTAGTTACTGGCAGGAATGCCACCTTCTCCTTCCGGACACCCCTGCCTGGCTCTTCTGATCTTCCTCTGAGATCCTTCTCTGGGAGCCCTCTTTGAAGGAGGGCAGAAGAGGGGCTACCGAGAGAAGGGCCTTTTCTGTCATAGCCCCCTGGCTCCGGAACCGGCTCCCCAGGGGGCCCACCTGCTCCCAACCCTTCATTCATTTTTTTATTTTCCTGAAACTTTACGCTTGAGTGTTGCTTGAATGATTGGCTTCTTCACATATTTATATTCTGTTTATTTGTGCTGCCTTTTGTAATGCCATCTGGAGATCTATGGAATAGATGGTGTATGCGTGTTTTAAATACATAAATAGACTCAGAAGAGCCATGCCGGGCCAGAGCACGGGCCCAGTCCTTCTCGCAGTCTGATCACGCAGAGGCCCGCTGCTCCTCCGCCAGAAAGCTACAAGCAGTGCAAGAGTGCCGCTGCACCCTCCGGCCCATGCTCCCCAGCCACTGGTGTGGACAGGAGAATGGGTAGGCATGGCCACACCTTGCCCGGCTGGACGGCCACCACCTTCAGGCAAAGCAAATTCACAACTCAAGGGGCGCCTGTGGCGCCTTAAAGCAGCACAGACTAATGATCGGAGCACGAGTGCATTGGATGAGACGCACAGGACAGGTGTCGGGCCTCGCTGTGGGGCGGAGGCAGCCAGGTCGTCCTGCTTAACTGTGGACATCGGGGAGACCTGGCGGGGCGCCAGCCCATCGATCCTTCGGGGCTCTCGGCAGCTTCCGACTCCGTCGGTCAGGATATCCTCGCCTGTCTCCGCTGTGCTCGCAAGGCGTCAGATCAAAGCAATTCTGGTTCTTCCAGTAAAGGCTGTGATTTGTTCAAGTAACGTCTTTTGAAGGACTCGTATGATTTTGACATACTACCTTCCTGTTTTGATGTTATTCTGTATTTCACTTTACTCTTTTGAGCTGCTCTGAGCACCATTTGGCAGAGAGGCGGGATATCAGTTTAATAATGAACAGACAAGAGTGCCGTCCTATACGCGTTTAGACAGAACGAAGTCTCAGAATGCCAGAATTTGCCGGCCGCCGGGCCTCTCAATGGCCTGCGATTAAAGTCTGCGTTGCATCGTGCAGTTTAGCACCGGAGGAAGGAACCGTTCCGCGGTCTGGATCGACGCGGGCATCCACGCCCGAGAGTGGGTCACCCAAGCTGTCGCCCTGTGGACCGCAAACAAGGTCAGCTGAGAAGGACGTGCCGGCGTTCGGGTCAAGTGGCAGAGCACCTCAGGATAACGCCTCCCCACACAGACCCCCCCCCCGGCCCCTGCCCCAACGGGCCGAGGAGGAGAGGCCTAGCTGTGCAGACAGCCCCCCGGTGCCTTAAGGGCAGCACCCGCCCTGTGTGGAGCCGAGGAGCCCAGCTGGAACATCCTCTGGAAGCGCGGTTAATGTGAGCAGCCCAAGCGCCGTCCTGGATCGGACCCAGGGTCTGCCTGGGCCCACTCCTCCAGCGGTCGGTCAGATCTCCGCAGGAGGCCCCGAAGCCCAGCTGGGACAAAGCGCCCTGCTCCAGAGGAGAGGGCTGTGGCGCACCTGTCCTGCTCGGGGCCTTCCTGGTTGGCCGCTGTGGGGAGCAGGACGCCAGTCCGTGGCTCTGACCCACCCGGGCTCACCGGGGCTCCTCGTCCGTTGAGTGCCGCAGAATTGGGGAGCCCCTTCCAGCTGGGAGAAGATGCAGATCTCCTGCCCGGAAGGGAGCCTCCTGCAGCCCTTTGGCCCACAAGCGGAGGGCAGGAGGCCACTGGGGCCTGGCCAGGGGCCGGTGAATCCAGCGCTCTGCTCACATGGGCGCCCGCCAGCTGGGGGGCAACCAGCCAACAAGCAGGAGGCAGGCCCAGTCCCCCCTCCGGCTCCCCGGCCGTGGGCCTCCAGGGCTGTCCTCTCCTCCACGACGGACTGGCCCACTCCCCTCCAAAGGGCCGCCCACCGCCAGGATCGATTCTCCCAGTGTGGAGCTCCGGGCGGCTCGCAGGCGGTCTCCCCTCCAGGCTCAGGCCAGCCCCGGGCCTGCTTAGCTTCGGCGTGGGGGCTGCCTCTCTGCGTTCAGGCCAAACCTTTCCGGGCCAATTGCAGCAGCAAACTCCGCAGGTTCGCAGCGCACTCTGGAATCGGTCCTTTCTCGGATCGGTCCTGAATCCCCCACCAAGCAGCTTCTTGGGATGAGACGCTGGGGTTCGAGTCTTATGGGGGGAGGGGAGAAACCCCCCCCCCGCTTGCTCCGTGCCGTACATGATTCCTCCTGCCTCCCTCACATCTCTGTGCACGGCCCTTTTCTATGAGCGAATAGCCCCAAATTTAGCGACTGGCGTTGGGAGAAGCTCGGCGGAATCGGTCCCTCTAGCACCCTTGGGCTTCCTCTGGCGCTCGGCCTGGTCTTGGAAAATAAGTGGCGCCAAACGGAAGCCCGCGAGCGCCCCTGGAACAAGGGTTGTGCTGCAGGCAACGCTCTTCTGCATCATGCGCCGCAGTGGAGCGCATGGGGCTCGATTCCGGGCGAGGACTGGGCAGAGGCTGGGCACACCCCGCAGGAACGTGGACCCCGGGCCGTGGCGAGGCAGACCAGAGGCCGGGGAATCGACAGATCCCCATCCTTAGAGTGCAGCTGCTCCAGCCCTTGAGCAGGGCAAGCGGCCACGCTCCGAGGAGCCTGGTCTTGCAGACCAGCGTTGCCAGCACTCGGTGCCAGGGCTCTGGTCCTTTCCCGGCCGTGTCCGGAGGCGCCGGGGTCAAACCGGGGCTGTCCGGCGAGCAAAGCGGGGTCCCTGTGGCTGAAGGGCAGCCCCTCTCCTGGCAGCGCCGCCACCCCTTGGAGCCGGCGTTAGCTGCCCTGCCCAGAGCAGCGGCGAGACGCCTCGCGATCTCTCTCTTGCGCTCCAGATCGCCTCCGACTATGGGAAGGACGCATCACTAACCTCCCTGCTGGGTGCAATGGACGTTTTCCTGCATGTCGTAGCAAATCCAGATGGATATGAATTTTCGCAGACTAAAGTGAGTACGTGCACCCTAGCAGCTGCCCCATCTCCTCTTCCAGCTAAATGACTTAAAGCAGCACCCACGGAGGGCACGTCGCCCACCTTCCCAGCTGCTCTCCTGTGCTTGGCTTTAATCTGCATTTCTCTTCTGGCACTTGCCCCTTTTCTTTCTCACTCTCAGAACCGTATGTGGCGGAAGACCCGCTCCAAGAGTCCCGGCAGCCCTTGCGTCGGTGTTGATCCGAACCGGAACTGGGATGCGGGATTTGGAGGTAAAATACGGATTTCACCTCTGGGTGAGCCTGCGGCTTTCTTTTCCTCACACTTGTATCCTCCCTCAGTGGAATCATCCGTTGACGGCTGCTCCCAGGCTTTTCCACAGATGCCAAGATTCTAGTCCTTATTGTTCTTTTCTGCCCCCGCCACTGTGCTGTTAGCAGGGGGAGGTAAATGTCTTAGAAAGAGTGTGTGGGGGCTTCATGTGCCGGCAGCACTTCTCCCTGTTTGTGCACCACACCACCACAATGGTTCTAAACCATCTAAAAACGCCGCATTATTTAAACGTGCAAAGCATCCAAGCAACAGCGCAGGGGTTCGAGCAGGGGCGTCCTGCGGCTTGCTGCTTGGCGGCTTTGCTCCGCCTTCTCCGAGGCCGGCTGCCCAGGTCACCCAGGAGCAAGGAGGGGCTGGTGAATACGCAGCTGTCTTTTGTGCCGGGCTAGAACTCCCATCATCCACAGCTAACCTGTAACTGCCATCCTCCCCACCCAGCATGACCACTGAGCTGAACCGGGATTCCCGCCGGGGTGACGAGATTTGTGGCCGGGCGCGTCCGGAGGGCCTCGGGGTCGGGCGAAGGGAGGGGGCTCCTCCACACCTGGGAGAACAGACCTGGGGAGCCCCTTTGCCCCCCCCACCCCCTCGGCTCGGCCGGGCTTGTCGCTTTGTTCTGATTCCCGGCCTTCCGCCCGGCAGGTCCCGGGGCCAGCAACAACCCCTGCTCCGACTCTTACCACGGCCCCGGCCCCAACTCCGAAGCAGAGGTGAGAGCCATTGTGGATTTCGTTGTCCGCCACGGAAACGTCGCGGGCTTCATCAGCATCCACAGCTACTCGCAACTCCTGATGTATCCCTACGGCTACACCTGCGCTGAGGCCAAAGATCGCAAAGAGCTGGTGAGCGGGGGCGGAGGGGGCGGCCGCTGCGCTGATCAACCCAGGAACAGGTTTTTGAACGGTGCGCAATCAGTTGCCAGGGATAAGGTTAATTGGGAGTCAGTGCTGGCCAGCCACGGCGGCAGCGCACAGGGGCAGCCCTGGAAGCTCAGGATCTGGGCCCTTTGCTTCCGCCATGGATTCCTGGCTTTTGTGCAGTTTTTCCCCACTCGAAAAGGTTGCGCTACTTCCTCTTAGATTCTTCATTACTGGCGGAAGGAACATGAGGTGAAAATATGCTGGCATTGGGGGGGGGGGGGTCGGGCCCCGACCCCCTTGGGCTTTTGCCCCCACCATTCACTGGGATGAAGCCCCGCAGAGCTTCTGCTACCCGGAATCAGGCCCCAGGGCTGAGAGAGGTGCAATACCCGTGTTGTGGCATCTATTTATTTATTTCCATTTAGAGTCTTTTCTGCCGTCCCAATACTAAAAGTCTCTGGACGGCTTACAAAAACCACAAAACAAAGCAAACCATCACAACACACAACACACTGCATCCAAGAAACGATGATAAAAGCAAGGATAAAGCCAATTAACTGTTACAATATTGGGAAAAGAAAAAGGTTTTCACCTGGTGCCGAAAAGAAAGAAGCGTCCGGGGAGCGGATTCCACAATGGGGTGCCACCGCAGAGAAGGCCCTTGTCCTGGTAGTCACCCCTATTTCCTCCAAGGAGGGCTCCCGGAGAGGGGCCTCTGCCCCAGATCTCAAGGGGCGGGAGGGCATATCGGGAAGCAGGTGCTCTTTCTGGGACCCATAGTAGGTTGTGATCTGCGGGTGCCCAGGGGGGAGGCCAAGACGCAAAGGGCCGTGGCCCCACCGCTCCGCTGTTCTTTCTTCCCTCTAGGATGAGGTGGCGAGCGCTGCAGCCAATGCACTGAGCACCCTGTATGGCACCAGATACAGGATTGGGGCCATTTGCTCAGTCATCTGTGAGTACTTTTGGCATTTCAACACGGGGCTCGTTAAGGGACGACCAGAACCGCACGCGGGTCGCTTCTCAGGGAATACAAACTCTGTTTGGCTTGCAATCCTAAAACCCGAACCTTCTTCCCAAATTCTTTTCAATTAATGTGGAAGAGTAAAATTTTGACCCCAACGACAAAGAGGGAAGGTGGGAGAAGTAGCTAAACAAATTTGAATTCTGCAGCTTCAATCCATGCATTAAAATGCGTGTGTTTATAAGAGAGCTGAAAATACAGGGTTTAAAAAAAAGAATTATACATACACTTCAAGAAAAGAAGACTCATTTATCCCACCTATTCAATTATAGAAAGTGCCGTAAAGTCTTCAGCACGTTATGGAAGGTGGATGTTTATCCTTCCTGTGCTGTCATATGAATTGTTTAGCTGCCAAAAATTCTGTTGGCACAGATGGGGTGTGAACTTCCCGGAAGCACGGAAAATTGAGGACAGGTGCACCAATAGATGCTACATTTCGTTCCAGTACAAGGTTTATCCGTGTTATAACCTCTTCCCCAAAGACGCAGGGCTCGGGCTCGGGCAAAAGTTCTTGGAGAGATGCTGGACTTCCAAGGGTCCCAAGGCTACACTGAGCTCCAGAGATGGACATCCAAGCATTTCACCAGCCTGCCTCCCCCGAGCTGGGGCCCTCCAGAGCGGCCATACTTCAACCCCCATCATCCCCAGCCATCGTGATGGGGGTTGTAGTCCAGCACATCGCGGGGGGGGGCTCAGGCTGGGGGAGGCTCCGTTCGCTACTGGTGGGGTTCAGAGTTTGTGGGCAGCTCTGGATGTGCCCCTGGGGCCACGGAGCTCCGGGGCGGCCTCCCCACTCAGTGGTCTGACGGCCTCGCGGTTCTCCGTCTCCTGCCCTGCAGACCAAGCTAGCGGCGGCAGCATCGACTGGTCGTACGACCACGGCATCAAGTACTCCTTCGCCTTTGAGCTGAGGGACACGGGCAGGTACGGCTTCCTCTTGCCCGCCGCTCAGATCATCCCGACGGCCCAGGAGACCTGGCTGGGGCTGAAGACCATCCTGGAGCACGTGCGGACCCACCCCTACTGAGAGAGGGGAAAGGCTGGCGCGGGAGGAGCGTCCCTCCGGAAGGACGTCACGGCGCCCCGGTTCCCCAGCCCGGCACCCCCCACGGGCTCCGCACGGTGGTCCGAACACCTGGAAGGCACCGGGCTGGGGAAGGCGGCGCGAACCCGAGGCTCTTTTAGCTCCCGGTGGAACAGAAAGCAAACAGGCAGTTTACTTTTAAAGCTTCTCCAGCGATTCGGTGCATTTCAGCCCAGTGGCACACAAGCGACAAACAGCAAAAGGAAATGTGCAAGGTAGACGAGGGCATGAGAGAACATGCCGCCTCTGCTTGTACATCGTGCGCCTCTCCCGAGCCTGTGACAGGGCAGGTGTTTCCATCCCAGTCGCAAAAAATAAAGATCGCGCTCTCCCCGGACTCGGCATCGGTGGTTTCTCGCTCCCGCGCGCCATCTTGCTTGCTTGCCACAGTGATCCATTCTCTGCTCAATGCTCGGGGCCGATGTGCGGCACATCTGGGCGAGTGCTCGGGTCCCAGCGGATGGCGGCAGAGGTCGGGGTGGCCCGGTTGTGAACGGCTCCGGGAGCGGCCTCCTTGGAAGCGTGACGGGGAGGTGCCTGGACACGGGTGCAGGACCGCCCATTACCGTGGCCACGGCTTTGCTGCCGCCAGCAACCGCCCCCTCCCGGGCTGAGCTGGACCACCTGTTGGTGCCACCTCCCTGTCCGCCCGCCACTTTTTAAGAAGGACCTTATCGGCAAGCAATAAAACCTCCAGCAACACGAAATAGCAAAGCACGAGGAAAGGAGAGAATCGTTTCATAAAAGGATCCATATGCAGCCACAGTTAGCATCACTCGTGAAACAGGAAAATTAAAAAGGAGGGACAACACAAGGAGGAGAAGGGGAAAGGGCTGAAACACTTCCATTTCCCCTAGATATATTAGGGTATTTATTCATAGGGTTGCCGCTAGTTGGAGACTTACACGTATATAGGCATCCATATGACTTTAAGCGGTGGGAGAGACAAACCTCAGCAGTTTTAGTGGTGAGAACAACCCAGGTGAACTCCCTGCAGAGTGCAAACCTACCATGGTGCTGCCGGGTACAGGTGCGCCAACATCGACAAAATTCCAGAGCACAAACAGAGTTTTTTATAAATTTCGAGTCGCTTATGCAGCAGCAGCGGTTGATGATGAGCCACAATGGGGGCAAGATGTATTCACAGTCCAGACAGTGTGAGAAAGGACCTAGTACAGCAAATCTCAGTGATTCTAGGATGTTGGCACGACAATCAGAAAGGCACACAAATCCTTGCAGGTCTTGATCATGTAAGCGACTCTGATTGCAACATGGCAAAGCAAAGCAAAGCAAAGCAGGATCCGAGCAGCTTTGCCGCAGCCGGCAGAAGAATGGACATCCAGTAGTTTCCCCTGGGAGCCACGTTCCCCACAGGATTAACTTTGCAACTAAATGTAGCAACTGCCTCAGGCGAGCGGAGAGCCCCAGGCTGTTAAAGGAGCAGGCGACTAATAATATTTGGCTTGGAATTCTGGTTCTTTCTGGGCAAGAGGAGCAGGGTCGCTGCAGGGGTGTTTTTATATCGCAAAGGCGCCTATAAGCAACCTTTCTCTTTATTTGGATTTCAACAACTCCTGTGGAGGGTCCTAGGCTCAATCTTCCGCATGGCCAGGTAGGGCTGCAAGGAAGCCTTGGGGGCCGTTTCCACCAGGCGGCACCAAGAATATCAGGCCGGCTTGTCTGAGCTTTTGGCTTGGCCGGTGCCTTGGGCCGAGCTGAAGATCCTTGGCCAGGCTAGCTCAGCCTAAATCCATCACATTTTGCAGGCTCTTGCTAAGCCGGCTAGCCGCGGCTGGATGGATTTTTAAAAATGGAAGCGATTCAAGTGAGTACAGACAGCTTTGGACATCATTTCCCTTCATCCTTTGCTGGGGAGAACCATGTAAACTGTCAGATGCTGCAAGAAACAGGTCCGGCCACCTTGGATAGGAAAAGCAAGTCAGCCCTATTTATAATGGGATGGATATTATGGGATGAGTGGGATGGTGTAAACGGGCGACCTGCAACAGCAGGGGGTTGGACCCGATGACCTTCTTGGCCCCTTCCAGCTCTGCTGTTCTCTGATTCTGTGTGATTAAGAATTGGGCACCGCAAATTATACACACACGAGCAGAAGGCTTTGGCACTGCGCTGAACAATTAGAACGAAGTTTTTATAATGTACAGCATTCTCTGAGAGCATTCTCAGGGGTCCCCTCCCGTCACACACCTGGGAATTTCCCTCCCTTCCTTCATACCTTATCTAAGGACGACACCTCAAGATGCAGTTCAGACGTGCATCCGTGGCCTGCTTCTGCCTCGTCCTGGGTCATCCCTGGGCAATTCTGCGGCCATTGTACTCGAATGGTGCCGGGCACCTTTGGGGGCGCCTGGGCCAGTAGCCCAGAGCTGGCCTGATTCCCCGCCCAAGCTTTGCTCTCCAGACTTTGCTCCTTCTTCAAAGGCAGCAGTGGGGAAATGTCACCCTTTCTGTGTTCGGCTTTGGCAGCATTTGAGGAGGCCTTTTGGCTTCTGCCAGGGCTGCCTCACCAGGACCCAAATCTCCATCCTGGTTAGCCCAGGGGTGTGCCCTCTCGCACTCATGGAACCAACTGGGTGTTGTTACAAGGATAAGATGGAGAGGAGGAGGAAGAAGGGAATTATGTAAGCTGCTCGAAATTCATTGGGAAAAGCAGGATATAAATCGGATCAATAAAATAAATTATTATTATTATTATTATTATTATTATTATTATTATTATTAAACATTTCTATGCCGCCCCTTGCCGAAACCTCGGGGCGGCTTACAACACGATAAAATACAATGAAATACAATAGCACATAATAAATTACCATTAAATACAAAGTACAAAAAATACATTGGTTTACAAATATAAGATTAAAATTATCAGTATAACTTAAGTAAATAAAAATATAGGAGGAGAAAGAGAAGGAAGAAGAAGTTGCCCTGGCCAGATCATATGTTTTAACAATTCAAATGATGTTTAAATAAAAAGGTCTTTACCTGGTGCCGAAAAACCAGTAACGACGGTGCCAGGCGGACCTCTTTGGGGAGTGAATTCCATAGGCTGGGTGCCACCGCAGAGAAAGCCCTCCTCCAAGTACTTACTCTCCTAATTTCTTTCGTGGAGGGTTCCCGGAGAAGGGACTCTCCCGCAGATCTCAGAGGGCGGTCGGGCATATACGGACGTAAGCGCTCGTTCAGGTAGCCAGGACCCAAGCCGTTTAGGGCTTTATAGGTCATAACCAACACCTTGAATTGGGCCCGGGCTTCAATGGGCAGCCAGTGAAGCTGACGGAGGACTGGAGTCATGTGAGCATAATGCCCCGTCCCCGTCAGCAACCTGGCAGCTCTATTTTGCACCAATTGAAGTGTTCGGACCGTCTTCAGGGGAAGCCCCACGTAAAGTGCGTTACAGAAGTCTAGGTGGGAAGTCACCAGCGCGTGTGTCACCGTCGCCAGGCAGTCGTACTCCAGGTAGGGGCGCAGCTGATTAATCAGCCGAAGCTGAAGGAAGGCGTTCCTCGCCACCGCTGTCACCTGAGCTTCCAAAGAAAGCTCTGGGTCGAGGAGTACTCCTAGGCTGCGGACCTTATCCCTAAGAGGGAGTGTTGCACCATTCAGGACCAGGTCAAATACACCCTCTCCGAAACCCGATCCGCCAACCAACAGGACCTCCGTCTTGTCTGGGTTGAGTTTCAGTTTATTGGCCCTCATCCATTCCCTTACCTTGGCCAAGCACCGGTTCAGCACAGCCACTGCCTCACCTGGATTAGTGGAAAACGAGAGGTAAAGCTGGGTATCATCAGCGTATTGATGATTCCGCAGCCCACACCTCCTGATGACCTCTCCCAGCGGTTTCATATAGATGTTAAATAGCAGAGGGGATAGAATGGAGCCCTGTGGTACCCCATGGCATAGCTGCCATGACGTAGAGACATGGTCCCCCAGCACTACCTTCTGGAATCGACCGTTGAGATAGGAGCAGAACCACTGCAGAGCAGTGCCTCCAACCCCCAATCCCGCAAGTCTATCCAGAAGGATACCATGGTTGATGGTATCGAAAGCCGCCGAGAGGTCCAGAAGAACCAACAGGGATGTACTCCCCCTGTCCTTCTCCCTGCACAGGTCATCGTACAGGGCGACCAAGGCAGATTCAGTACTGTACCCGGGTCTGAAGCCGGACTGAAAAGGATCCAGATAATCAGTTTCATCCAAGAGTGCTTGGAGTTGTCCCGCCACCACTCGCTCCAACACCTTGCCCAGAAACGGGATGTTGGCCACAGGTCTATAGTTAGTGGCCATCTCTGGATCCAGTGACGCTTTCTTCAGGACCGGTCGTATTACCGCCTCCTTTAAAGGGGCAGGCACTCGACCCTCCCTCAGAGAAGCGTTAACCACTTCCAAGATCCAGGTCCCAATCCCGTGCTTGGAGTTATTTATTAACCAAGACGGGCAAGGATCCAATAGGCAAGTGGTGGGACGTACTCGTCCAAGCACCTTGTCCACATCATCGGGCCGCAATAATTGAAATTCTTCCAATAGCAACCTCCAAGCACTCCGATGGTCCTTCACCGTTGGCTAGGTGGGTTGGGGCTCATGGGACTTGCAGGCCAAGCTGTCAGCAGGCTGCACGTCACCAACCACCGGGCACGCCTCAGGGCAGTGTTTTCAGGCTGCAGCAGCCGGACGCCGGGCAGGTATCCAAGCAGGTGTGTGCGACGGGGGCAGTGGCGCAACGTGGCCATTTCGAGGGAAGGTCACCGCCACCAGGTACCATACAGGTGCCTTTCCTTTGTGGAGCACCTGCCTGAAAGCACCTTTGACTCCTCCTGCCCTGGCTTTTCCCCAAGGGATGCTGCATCAGGCTGGAGGGGTGTGGGGGGGACACAGACTTGGGGAGAGAAAGGCCAGGGGCTCAGACCGTTTTGCCGGATGCAGCG